GCTATTCATCTTGCCCACAGCCCCTGGCAAGTGCCTGGCGTGACTAACGCACGCGCAGAATAAACGCGTCCCGAAGGGTAAGAAAGACAGAGTTGTGCGCGTGGAAAGGCCAGTGTGCATTCATTTGTATTACCTCATCGTTTTCACACCCTCGTGGGTGAAGTAGCTGAGCACTAGTTTGCTATTCCAGAAAGAACAGGCTCAGAGGTCACGTGACGCGTCTCTGGCCAATGTTCCTTCCCCCAGCGCCCCTGAAGTACTCCCAGGAGCTGCAGGAAACTCGCTTTATAACATCTGCTTTTGCTCCTTAGAGACTCCGTTTTCTCTGGTTCTTAACTGTTTTCCAAATAGGTGAGATAAGTGCACAGTTTGCTTCCTAAAGGTGGGTGTTATATTAAAAAGCAAAGCAAAAAAACCCCACCAAACCATAAAAGTGTAGTTTCCTTGCTTAGTCTAATATGAAATGAGTGGTTGAAAAAAAGTTTTTTTAAAAAGATGTTTTCATTTTATGCTTTTGAAGAATTCAGGATGAAAGCAACAGTAATTGCAACAGCTATTCAATGAGCCTTGCCTTGTGCTAAGTGTGTTACATGTATCACCTAATTTAGTCCCATAACCTCATTTGAAGTGAGGAAGCAATCTCAAGAGAACAAAGCTAGTAAGTGGCAGAACAAGAATCTAAGTCTGCTGAATTCAAGTCCAAGCTTTCATTATATTTCATTCTACTCTGCCTCTTTAATTTAAAAACATCTATATGTATTAGGACTAATCTCAGACAGCAGCACACTATATTGGTTTCCTCTGACCTAGAACCTGCTTTTAGCCTTGTCAAAGATGTATTATTGGCACTGGGTGGCCATCTTTTAAAGCTTTAGAAATGCATGTGGTAGAGTGCAAAGAGTACAGGCTTGGGGTTAAAGAAATTAACCTCTATGCTAAAATTCTGGCTCCATGTCTTTTCTTTTCAGCTTCCTCCTCTGCCAAATGGAGCTAATGGTACCTATCAGTCAGGACTGCTATGCATGTAAAATGCCTAGGAGAGCCCGGCACACAGCAGGCACTCAATAGATGGTAGTTAATAGTTTATACCACTTATTGCTGTTGTTCAACTTCAGCCTTATCATAGGGAGAATGTATATGATACCATCACAAGTCCAGGTACAGCTCAGAATTTAGCTTATTAGCAGATTGGAAACAATGCCTGGCTGTGCCGGGCACTAGGCTACCTGGAGAGCCTTAGTTTCCTTACAGGAAATGTGAACATTCTGGAAACAGATGACTGACGGGAATGCCTCTGAAATGTCAACTTCAGAGATATTATTTTGAGTGGTAGTGGATAGGCTTTTGTTGATTTAGTAAAACCAAAATTAAGGCATCTTTGAAATGTTACCATGTCCTGCTCCTCCTATGTATACAAAAACATCCACTCCAATGGGATGAACTTTAAGGGGAATCATCAAGATATTACCATGTGATGAATCTTGCAGAAAATAACCCTGCTCACATTTGCAGTGAGCTCTTTTATTCATTAGTTACAATCAGTGAACAATGTTTTATGGTTTCATCAGCCATTTGCATTTCTTGAATAAATGGAAAACAGTACAAATAAGCAAACAGATCAATATAAATGGCACCAGAGGAAGTCATCTATTAAAGAACAGCATGGATAAATAACACAAGGAATGCCCAAGGCTGCCCAGCGAGTTTAGCTGAATATGTCAGTAAATAGTGAATGTAAAATCACTTTTCTGTACTTAATAAGAGAAATGCATTCAGGAAAGTAAGATTATGCTTTTTGACTTTTCTGCTATTAGCTTTGTAGAAAAGTCATGTTTAGAGGGAAGCTTTTCTTGTTTTTGACACCAAAAATGTGTGCCTGCTTAATCTTAAAATTTGATTGTTTTAGAATTTTTCTTACTTGGTATATATGAAATTTTCCCTCTAATTAAAAATTGCTGTGCTCAAAAAAAAAAAAGATATTACCATGTGATTTCTCTGTTCCTCCTTAAAAAGCAGGATTCAACAATAAACAAGCAAGCAAACAAAACCACTGAAAAGATTACCTTTCACAAAGAGATAGTCTGACTTCCCTTCTTTGTATCGGTCCCACCCCTGCTGCTTCTGCTTCTCACCACTCCTTGAGCTCCGCCAGTCTGGCTTCTGTTCTCCCCCACTGCACTTAACAACTCGTCCTCTTGGCATGAGACCATCTATTGTCGAGACACTGCCCCCCTCTGGGCTCAATTCCCTTTCACCCACTCACATATTTCACTTACTGCACAGACACCCAACTTCTGACCCGGGTTTCAACTGTTCTACTGAACTCTAGGTCTCGCATTTCCATTGCTCTCTGGAAATTCTAGTGAGATGATTACAACTAACATTTATGAAATGTTCACTAATGTGCTAAGCACTGTGCAGAGCCAAAGATTCCAAACTTTGTGGGTTCATGGTGCCTATGTGGGTTTTCACGTGGAACCTGCTTTTGATCAGAGCAATCACAAAAACCCAGCTTTGAAAAGACAGGGCTTTACTAAAAGGAATGCACACAATCAGATGCTGAAACTGCGAATTACCTTGAGCTAGTCATTCATAATGTATCTGACAGATGTCAAGTACTGCTGCTTCTTTTGAAAGTTTAACATATTTAAAGTAATGGTACCCTTTGAGTTTGCTGTGGCGCCCAGAGGGCCTTGCCACACTGGAGCCCTAAATGCATTTACAGGTATTACCTCATTCAATCCTAAGGGCCCTACTGGGTAGGTCTATTACCACCTCCAGCTCACAGACGGAGAAGCTGCGCAACTTGCAAACAGCACAGAGCTGGTCAGTGGCAGAGGCAGGATTTGAACCCAAGTGGTCTGGCTCCACAGCTCACTACCTTAACCACTTAGGCTGGACCTCTTGATGCTTGTACCTTAAACTCTAAACCTAACTTGTCTTCTCCAGAACCGGCCACTCTTCTTGTATCCTATTTTTATGGCAGTCCCGGTCACAGAAGCTGAGGTAGAAAGGGTACACAGAGGCCTTCAGCATTTCTACCAGTTGGCTCTCCAGCCTCTGCTCACTGTAGCTGAGGGAACACAATTCCTGAAACATTCCTTTCTATCTCTAGGTGGACTTTTAGGAAGTTCTTTTTTTCCTGAAACAAAGCCCAGGAAAGGATATTTGTTTAAAGCTTCATAGGAAATTTAAAAAGCACAGTATGTTACCATAAATATTTGTTGGATGAATGACTACACTCAAATTATGACCAATACTTACACAATCAAATACTGATGCATAATACGGCTTTCGCCCTAAACTATAACTGTTTTCACTAGCAACTGCTAGCCACATGGGGGAATTATAAATAAGTCCCTAGCCTTGAGGAGGTTATAATTTTATTTTCCAAGGTACCCAGGTTCAAAACCTTAAGGGACATCTTTGTGCTCACTTTTGTTTCTGGCTTCCCAGCTCCAAGCCCAGCTGCCACATCATGTCAGTTTCTCCTTCAGAGTCTCTCCTGAACTTGTCTCTTCAGCTTGTTTCTATCAGGCTTTTATGACTGACCCTGGACTAGAATAAGCTTCTGGGCTGTCTGTCTCCTCAGTCTAAACCACCTGGTGCAGGTCCATCATTTTATTATTAAATGATCATTTACAGCACATCTAAACCCTGCTCATAACCCCAAAGTGCCTGCTGCCAAATCCTTTATTTTGGAATTTAAAATTTCTACAATTTGCTCCCGACCTGCTTTTACAATGTTTTCATCGGTATATTCACTCATTTAACATATATCACAAAATGCTTACCAAGGACATAGAGGAACTGGAGACACTGTTAAGGTGGCTAAAACAGCCCCTAAGTAGTTAAAACGCCTGTAAGAGGCTTATAGCCTTTAATAGGGGGAATGGAATATGTACAAAGATAACTCCAATGAGGAAGACAGTTAAGTGCAATGAGAGAGAGACAGCAAGGTGTTATGAGAGTTCAGAAGTTAATTCTGGTCCTGGGTGGGTAGCTCAGTTGGTTAGAGCATCGTCTCAACACGCCAAGGCTGTCGGCTCAATCTCCGGGCAGGGCACATGGAAGAAGCACCCAATGAATGCATAAATAAGTGGAACAACAAACTGATGTTTCTCTCTCAAATCAGTAAATAAATTTTAAAAAAGAAGTTAATTCTCATGGAGAGTCAGGAGGTCTGAGAAGAGGCAGCATTTGATTAAGTCTTGAAGGGAAGGCAGTTTCAACATGCGAGAAGGGGAAGGGCACTGAAAAAGATGAGCGGAGCAATGGGGTAAGAATGTATGGAGAGAGTTCAGTCCCCACGCAGTGTATGCAAGCACGGAGTTTGGAGTTTGGGCTGACTGGTCGGAAATGGGGAAGGCAGGAGGAGATAAGGGAGGAGATGCAGGTTTGGGGTGTGAGGTGCCCACGGCACCAGGTGGAAAGAGTCATCGGGCAGCTAGAAGGGCAGCCACCTGCTCAACACCTCGCCGCCTCCCGGCACCCATCCGCCGGCATCCATGTCCTTCCAGCTTTCTCGGCCACCCTGCCTCTACTGCACAGCGGGCAACACCTCTACCAGGAAGCCCACGAACAATGAGACTGCTACTTTGTACCAGACCGGCCGGGCACTGGTACTATTTTATACTTTGTGTCATTCCAAGGGATTTACCTTGCTACATTCCCAATGGCTCTCCCAGCTGCTTAATTCCAAGTCCACTTACTGTTATCAAAGGATAACTGCCTCTCTCTCCCCTGCTCTCCTTTAAACCCTCCCCCAAGGATATGCTTTTTTCAAATTGATTTTAGAGCGCCAGGCAGGGAGAGGGGGAGAGGCGGAGAGAAACACTGATCAGCCGCCGACCTGGGATCCAGCCACAACCTGGGTGCGTGCCCTGGCTGGAATGGAACCAGCGGCCCCTCGGTGCAGCGGGCGACGCGCCACCCAGCTGTGCCGCGCCGGCCAGGCCACGCCTTCTCCGGGCCCCACCACACCCAGAAACACGGTTTACCTTTTCTCCTCTTTCTCTCTCTTTCTCCTTCTCCTCTCTTTTCTTTTTTTTCTCACTATGGCCGTCTGTGTGGAGGCTGGGCGGCAGAGCCACTGCTCCAGGGTAGGGGCTGCTGGGCGGAGGGCCGGGTGTCGCCGGGGCGTCCCCCGCCGGGGCGGGTCCTGAGCTCCTACGGGACTTGGAGTGGCGCCTCTCCCTGTGCCTCTCCTTGTCCTTCTTCTTCTTGCTCTTCTTGGACTTCTTCTTCTTCTTGACCTCCCGGTAAGAGTCATCTATCACCAACTCGCCAGCCTCCAGCTCCCCTGCGGAGGACGAGTCTGATTCCACCAGGATGGGTTCGAGCCCCGACAGATCCAGGTTAGCACTGTGGGCCTCTGGGAGCTGGGGGGCATCTGGCCCACAGCCTTCAGGGCCAGGGGACGAATGTGGGTCTGAGGACGACCTGTGCTTCTTCCGGGCTGTTTTCAGAAAGCTCTGTAGTTCGTGTCCTAGGAGTAAAGCACCTTGCTCATCCCGAGCCGACTTCTTAGAGGACTTTTTTGCAGCCGCTTGCTGAGAGGGGTACTGAAAAGACTCCTCATCAACCGAGCTGCTTCCCTTCTCCTTTGGTGAGAGAATAAGTTTCATCTTTAAGCCATCAGGCTCCCGAAGGGTCAGCGTCTCAGTGTTCACGTAGAGCGGTTTCATTTTTTTGGATTTGTGGGAACCGCCATCCTCCAGGGACAGTTCGCCACTGCTTCCACTCACTTTTTTCCTGTGGTGGTCCTTTTTACTCTCTGAATGGCCTGAAGAACCAGAGGACTTTTCCCCCATCTTTTTGGGGGGCTTGGAGCTTGCTGCCAATGGAGAAGTGATAGCTTTCAGTAGGTCCATAGCTGTATCAGCAGCTTGCGGGCTGGACCTTTTCTTTTTCTTCTGTGACGATTCCAAAGACGAAATATCTAGAAATAATCAAGAGAAGCAGTGTTCATGTGACAAAGCAACTTCCAACAAGTTGCCCTTCTTGCCCCAAACACCCAACTAATATGAGGAAGAAGCTAACAGGAGTGACTTAAGGGGACGCCCTTCAACTGACTGCTAACATTCAGAGAGGATGCCCATGTGCTTCTTGGCCTGGCACTCTGCCTCTGACCCTGGAGACAGTTCTCGCCACTACAGCTGTTTTTCTCCACTGAGTCTTCATAAGCAACCAGAGAGCATACCCAGAAGAATGGACTATAGCTGTGGGATTACAAGTACAGTTGACCCTTGAACAATATGGGTGTGAACTGCATGGATCCACTTATAGCAGATTTTTTTTTTTTCCAATAAATACTATAAATGTATTTTCTCTTGCTTATGATTTTCTTAATAACACTGTCTTTTCCCTAGCTTACTTTATTGTAAGAATAAAGTATATAATACATATAACATACAAAATATGTGTTGGCTGTTTATGTTATTGGTAAGGCTTCTGGTCAGTAACAGGCTATTAGTAGTTAAGTTTTTGGGAAGTCAAAGTTATATGTGGATTTTTAAATGTGCAGGGCTCGGTGCCCCAAACACCCATGTTGTTCAAGGGTCAACTAGAGATATAATTGAGATTCACTGCAGACAGAGTATTGCTTGTTTCTGTTCAGGACAAACCCATTCTAGTGAAGAGTTAGTTGTGTCAGCTATGTGCATAGTACAGCTAAGAAAAGCCGCTGTGACTGGATGTGCACTGGACTGAGAATTAACCCATAGGTGTAGGCCAGAGGGCCTGGGACTACATATGGCGAAGGGATGCTAGATAACACTGGGCACGAGTAAGTGGATGATTGGGGAGAGAAGGAACCTGGTACCTGGTGTATCACAAATGAAGACTGTTCTTCTATGCTGATTCCTCCAAAATACCAGCCCTCCACCTCTTTCCTCCTTCACACTGGTTTATCGGCACTCAGAACAAGAACCACTGTCCTGTTAAATAGGCCACTGAGTCAGCAACATCTGGATCCCTTTCCCCTACCCCGACTCCAAGAACCAGCGATGAGCTTATCCCACCTGCGGCCCTTTCCCACCCTTACCTCCATAGTAGTAATCATCGGAGTGCTTCCTCTTCTTCTTGTGCGTGTCCGTCCCCAAGAAGTAAAGTTCGCTGTCCTGGGATTAAAGAGGAAGAAGAATTGACCAATGAGTAAGATGAGGAGGAACAGCGGCTTGGGACCAATCTTGTTTTTTGATGATTTCTGATTTTGGAAAACAAAGTAAAACAGGAAATGATGAAATAGACAGGAATGATATTTATTTTTCTTTTTAAAAGCTTTTAAAAGAAGCTTCTTTCTTCGAATATTAGGAAATATGATATGTGGTCGTTTAAAAGTTCCCTAATCAAATGCTTAGAATTTACCTTTAGCTTCTTCTTGGAAGAATTCCTGACCTGAGCGGCAATTTCTTCCTCTTCCCTCAGAAAGTCTTTGTAAGAACGTTTCTTTTCTCGTTGGCTTCGGCCGGCCGCTAGTCCTATGTCCTCAAAGCTGTGATCACCATCAAAGCAATCTGAGAAGCACAGGTTCATGTGGGAAAGGAAATGAAATGAGAAAGTCAAGTAACAACAAAATCCCCACACCTGTAACCCAACAGCCCCTCCATTTCCAAAGTAAAATGCTGTTTCAGCAAGTCCACTGGAACACAAGGCTAGGTCCACGGGCACCAGAATACTTCCTGATGACTTGCCTGCAAACACAAGAACCAAACCTGAAGAAGCAACGCTTCTATGCTACACAAAGGCCCCATGTGCATCCGCGGACATGGTTCTCAGCTGTGATTTGGCAGGTGGGCAGACTTGCAGAGGTAAGGCTGACAAGAGTAAGGAGTCACGTGCTGTGCTGCTCTGTGGGAGTCCAATGTGAGATTCCTATCCCCAGGCTCCTGCACACTGGAGCTGGCAAGGACCACGAGTGCTGCAGGGGATCGCCCCAATAGACTACTGCATTTCAGACTCTTGTGTTGGAACCCTGTCTTGGTGCTCGTTTCCATGGGCCCAGTCTGGGGATGACGTGGAGACTTAACAGTGCTCTGGGTCACCACTTGGGAGTCCAGGCTGTGATGGCCAGTCCTGGTCTCTATGTCCATGGGCTGCAAGGATTGAAGAGGACACCCCCTTTGAAATGCTTCTTGGATTAAGGGGTCATACCTTCTTTCTTCACGGCGTCATCATAAGCCATGGCGGTCCTGCAGGGCCTTTGAGAAAGTGTCACTGTGTCCAGGCTCCTTCTCGTCTACAGGACCAGGTCTGAGAAACAAAGAAGGAAAACCTTCCTGTAATGCGAAATCACTGTGGAGATGCAACCTTCCAGACGGAAATGCGCAGTGATCCAAGGGCAGACTGGAAGGGCAGCAAGAAATAAAGGAGTGTCTTGTCACCTCCTCATTCTGTTCGTAAATATATTGGGGTTGAAACTGCAGGAAGTGCACTTGGCTTAATTTGATTCATGAATTAAAGTTGTTGTTCGGGGAAGTATATAAAATACCTCCCACATAAAAATTACTTCAAAATTAATGAGACTTTCTGAAATGCCAACAGGACTGACAACACTGAGACAGAGTAAAACCGACATAAAGTCAGAGGGATAGGTTCAACCATGGTTACAGACGCAGATGAAGCAGGATGCAGAGGAAGAGGTTACACACCTTCGAGACCACAAAGTCCTACCGTCTGGACGGGTAGAAGGCTGAACTCTATCGCATAATAATGACATTATAGGGATACTAAAGATCTCTGAAGCATCTTTTTTGCATGCATTTTGTTGGGTTATATGAATTTGCTCAAATCACAGAAGTGTAAAAGTGGGTACACTTCTTAAATAGTTGGCCTTCTGACAGCTTTCGACGCTATCAAGCCCTTTAAAGGTCAGGTGAAAATGAGGAAAATGATCATTTGTCCACTGGTGAGGAAATATTTATGATTATTAAGATTTTCACTAATTTGAAGAATTACTGTAATATACATGCTCTATGTATTGTCTTGAATTTGTTAATTTTTTTTTCACATTCAAGTTTACATGTCCGTTTTGAGTTTGAAGATGATAAGCCGTGAGCCACACGCTAAGGTTCTTCAAATACTTTTAAGGACAGGCAATGTCACAATTCCTGCAGGAAGTCTTTGCAGGAAATTAAAAAATTATATACTAAATACATTGAAAATGTTCTCATCCAGTTAGAGAACTGCTTAAAAGCTTAAAAGTTGATATGATTGGTCATTTGTTTAAATTTCATTACTATAATGGAATTTAGAAATGCTGAAGGACACTTGAATGAGACATTGCCAATCCCTTCATGTAGGTACGGCTCATTCTGAAATATGTAACTTTTGTAAAATAAAAGATGAATTTAATTAGCAAAGAAAACTTTCATAAGAGTTACATTTAAAATAAATGAAAGACTTTATCGCACAAGTCAGATAAAATACAATGCACAGATATGCCTAATCTGAAAGTAGAAAGAAAAAAAGTATTACCCAGAATGACTGACAAGAAAGATTAAGAAACATAAAAAAAAAGCATTTCTTTACTTCTCTAAGAAGTAGAATGAAGAATGGACTTGGTCAAGGTAAGAGAAGCTGGAGGGAAGAAAAGAAATAAAATGAACTTAATTATTTTAAAGACAAACGAAAAACTGCTTGTTCAAAGGTCTTTTCAAAGGAAATGAAGGGGATATAAAGTCAGGTCTCATGTACAAATATAAGGAGGCAAGATACATAATGTAGCCAGTTTTTCATGTTTAACATTAAGCATTAAATGTTCTCGAATAGACATTACTGTCCTCCCCTTTCCACCCAAGTGGTACTAACTCTAAAAGGGATGAGGGGAGGGGAGATGTCATAGGGAATCATATCCATTCATTTGAAAATAGCTATTACCTCATTGGCACTAAAATACTGAGTTTATTAGAAAAATATATAGATTCCATTAGTTTTCATAGGCCGATAATGCCAAGAGATACTCCAACCTGAGTCTTCAAGTTAAATGTTTCCCCTGCCAAACGAATTTTGGCAAAGAATGTGTGAGAAATGGGGGAAAAAAATCTTAACTATTCTACATCATTAATATGGCCACCATCTGTTGTCGTCAACAAAATGCACCTCTATATGAAGCAGAGGCAGGTCCTGAACCTTATAACCAGGTCTTCCCTGGTAACATCAAAACTAACGTGAAACAGAGTTGAGCAACTGTCGAAATAGGAGTAAGTACCTCTAAAGACCTTATGAGAGCGAAAACAATGGCCACTTACTGGACTTTGGAAGAGTGCTCATGGTCTCATAAGTCTGCCTGGAAAAACCACCAGTGAATTTAAGAACTTGTGAAAGGGAACATGAAATTAAGAGCTGATCCTCAAAGGCACAATATGTATTAGAATTAGGCCTGCTACTATTTAAATTTCCATAAAAAACAATGAACAGCACTTTATAAATTATAGGATCAAATAATCTGAAAAAAAAAAAAAAAAAAAAAAAAA